AAACGAGTAGCCTATCCATAGGGTTGTCTGTGGAGAATGTGCAAACAGACCCAAGCGCATCGCCATTAAAAGAATACTTAAATATGCTGCCTGTGAATTCTCGTGTGTACAGATAGTTCCCAATAACCATTAACTCATTAGTTCCACTATATGTTAACGACGGCAAAACGACTTGTACGTTACTACCATCAGCATTTACTGACCAAATTCCCGCGTAGCTCACGTAAGTATAGAAAATCTTTTGACCTGTAGACAAAAAAATGATTAATTATTTAGAGATGATATTTAGAAAGCAACAACAATTTAAGACCTATATTAACATTAATAATAAAATTAAACAATAACATTTTTAAAAAAATGTGAAAAAAAAATCAAAATATAAAAAGTGGAAAGCAAAACACACCATCAAATGATCTGCAGAAGTTTGAGTGGACTATGCCGGGCACTCACTCTGTCGTACGTAATCCAACTACGCTCACAAATAGGCCTAAATGTTTTGTTTTAAATTCCAAGTTTCATGTGGATTCATGCTGAAAGTTTTACTTTTTCATCACAACTTTCAGCATAGTCTTTTAGCTTAAATGATATGGTACCAAATTTAGCTGTTACTTTTTGCTACATCATTATGTCAAATACCTAAACACGTCAGAAACTTAAACGCATTAGGCCTGGCCTAAACACGTTTAGCTTTAAAACGAGTCAACAAAAACGAGGCAACATTGCGTGGAGCTTTGTGTTTAAATGTTCCAAGCTGTTTTACAGTGTACTACTCAACAACGTTCGTGCAAAGTATGGAAAAAAAAACACGTCTCTCTAAAAATTGACAAAATTGCTCGTGATTTAAGAGTAGCAAAACTTTCAATATTTTGTAGCTGCGTAGAATAACTTTATTAAATTTTGAGCAGTCTAATGATCCAAATCTTGTGATGAAAATGGTATCTGCAAGTAGGCCTATATCTAGGCGTCATTGTTTGAACTTTATTCAAAAACTGTGAAACGCTTCCTGTTTCAACTTAATTAAGGAGAAACGAGCTTCGAGTAGTAACGACCTTCCCAGCAAACTTTTGGCTCACTCTGGCGTCACCCAGAGGCAAGCCGGTAAAATCAGATATGAATGATGTTAACAAAAGGTAAGTTCTGCCTCAAAACGCAAAAGGCTACTATCCTCCTTACAACCAAATAAGAGTAGCAAAAAAGCATTGCTATCCTGATGGTATACCTGCCGAAGAGGACAGCAGAAGTGCCTCTCCAAATTCTTCTCGTTCACACTGCACTGAGAGTCATCAAGAAACAAAAGCCCTTTTAAATTATAGCCTAGGCTTAATATGACTGAGGACGGAATTATTTAAATCATGACATTGATGTAGGCCTGTCTGACAATTCCATGGAAAAAATGTAAAATTAGGTTGTTAAGTATTATGAATTTTGATTTCGATTTCAATTTCTCAAAAAAAAAGTCACATTTATATTCACATGTAAGATTTACAATAGAAATTTTAGTATTAGGCCTATGCCTAAAACAATTTTGGCCCCGTCCAATCAGAAAAGTGTACTTTGATGACATCATGGAAAATACACAATGCCCCCACAATTTCTTTTGTCACAAACCTCCTTATACATTTCAAAATTATAATATGACCTTGTTTTGGTATTACAATGAAAACTGACATCGTCAAATAAGAAAATAGTACAAAAATAACGTCATATAGATTTGAAAATGCTTTTATTGAATTCTACGGGTATGCAAACCCCCTAGATACGCCGTATATTCGCTTAGATTAGTGTGATAAGTCATAAATTTTGGCACACTTCAGTGTGGCCCACTGTGCGACGACCGTCGACCAGTGGGCTTGACACATGATGCTGCATAAGAGTACCGGTACTGTACCCAGGGACGTAGCCAGGATTTTGAAAGGGGGAGAGCCGTTATGCGAATTACGTATGACCCCGGCAGGGTCAAGGGGGCGAATCCCCTGTGAAGTAGCGCACTCTGAACGCTCTTAGGACTGTTTGAGAGGATAAAGTGAAAATTGCAATAGACGCATTATAAATAAGCGAAAAAATAGTTATATAATAAATCAACAGTTGCAGATCCAGGAATTCGAAAGAGAGGTAAACCATGGAGGGACTTTCACAGAGCGAGGAACCACCCACCTCAGCCCCACCATGGTTGGGGCTGAGGTAAGAAAATTTATGATTAGGGCATCTCTAGATGGCCGGAAATTACACTCTCGCACTTCAATTTGAATATATTTTTCCTTTTTTTTCCTTAAAAAATGAAGGGGGGAGGGGGAGTGCCTTGAATCCACCTCAGCTCAAAACATTATTTATCCAGAATAGTCATAATCACGAAAAATGGACATGAAAAACCAGATCACATCCTAAAAATAAACAGCAGTCACTAAGACATACATCAGGAGCCGACTCGATGGAGTTTAATGTCATACCCAGGGAAGGGCACAGA